TTTCTGGATTATCTGTTCTGTGCCCTTGATCTATGTGTTTGTCTTTCACTAATACTACCGTATTGATTGCTGAAACTTTATAGTAAGTCTTGAAATCAGGTGGTATGATTTCCAGAACTTTGTTCTTTTTCAAAATTGTTTTTGACTATTCCGGTTCCTTTGCATTTCCATATAAATTTTAGGATAAGCTTGTTGATTTCTGCCCTTCTTTCCCCAAAAAAGCCTTCTGCGATTTAGATTAAGATTGCATTGAATCTGTAGATTGATTTGGAGAGAACTGACATCCTAAGTCTTCCAGGCCATTATTTGTCTTTGATTTTTTTCACTAGTATTTTATAGTTGTCAGCATAGAGATACTGTATATCTTCTATTATATTTACTCCTAAGTATTTCTTTGCTTTGCTTTGCTTTCTTTCTCTTTTTGGTACTACCGTAGATGATACTTTTTATTTTTATTTATTTTTTTTTAGTGACATAAAAGTTTATTCTTCTCTCAAATAACATCATGGGTAGGCGGTCCAGTCCAGATCTGTTATTGTGAACTCACAGTCCTTTACCTTGTTGCTCTGCCATACCTTTAAATTCACCTCATGGTCCAGGAGAGCTGCTTCAACTCCAGCCATCACATCTACATGCTAGACAACAGGAAGAAGAGAAAGGGAGGAACACCATGACTTTTAATTTCAAGTTTCGGTTGTTCATTGTGGTATGTAGAAATACAGCTGAGGGGCGCCTGGGTGGCTCAGTCGGTTAAGCGTCCGCCTTCAGCTCGGGTCGTGATCTCAGGGTTCCGGGATTGAGCCCCACTTCGGGCTCCCTGCTCAGCGGGGAGCCTGCTTCTCCCTCTCCCTCTGCCTGCCGCTCCCCTTGCTTGTGCTCTCTCTCTTTCTCTCTGTCAAATAAATAAATAAAATCTTAAAAAAAAAAAAAAAGAAATACAGCTGATTTTGTTATCTACATACTCATATGCCCTGCCACTTTGTTAAGCTCACTCACTGGTTGTGTTAGTTTTGTTGCAGATTCTATGGGGTTTTCTCTGTAGACAGTCGTGTCATCTGTGAATAGGGACAGTTGTATTCTGGCTTTCCAGTCTGTGGTGCCTCTCTCTGGCCTGATTGCACTCTCGGACCTCCAGGACACTGTGGATTAGGTGCGAGCGGACATCCCGACTTGCTCCTGACCTCGGGGGGGTAGTACGTTCAGTCTTGCTCGAAATAAGTATGCTTTTAGCTGCAGGTTTTTCAGAGACACAGTCATTGGGTTGAGGAAGTTCCCTTCTATTCCTGGTTTGCCAAGCTTTATCTTGAAAAGATGTTAATTTTGTCAAACATGGTGTAGTTTCAGTGGCAGGCTCCCTGAACGGCAGGGAGCGTCGCGCTGTGATTGAGGCTTTGTCCCAAGGAACTTCGAGGGCTCCCTGTTGTGCTTACAGCCCAGGGCCCTCTGTCCCCATTGGCCACCGTCCTTTTCTCCATCCGACTGACTGCACGTCTGCTTGGTGGAGTCTCTCAGTGACAAAAGGAGGCAGGTGTGGAGAATGGATGCTGGCTTTTGCTCCCGGGCCCCCTCCGCAGGATGGGGTGTGTTGCTGCAGGGCAGCCCTGGGCTACACCGGGGGCGGGGGGGGGGGGGGGGGGCAGGCACCAGGCCACCCCTGTGGCGCCGTGGGGCCATCTCCTTGGCCTCTGACCCTGCTCCTCCTGTGGGTCCTCTTCTCGGAAGCACCAGCAGGCGTCGACCCGCCTCGGTCGCTGCCGTGTCCCACAGCCTGTCACAGCACCTGGCAAGGGGTAGGCACTCTGTAACTAAGGCACGCCACCCACCGACAGCTTCCTGTCTATGGATTCATCCGACCCCTGGCGTCCCCAGCCTATGGTGTCCAGACCGTGCTCACTGACACCCGCTCATCTCCCCTTTTCTGTCAGCGTGTGTTACGCGTCAAGTTTGTTGAGAAGGTAGCGCTTTTGAAGAATGGGCTCAGAGGGAGCCACCTACCCTCACCCCGTGTGGCCTGACCACCACCTTCCTCACAGGCCTGCCGGTTCTTCTCTCAGACAAGTCTCCTCCATTCCTACAACCCGGAAAGCCCCGCCTGGGTCCTCTCCTCCCTTCCTCATCCTCCCGTAACAGCTGAGCTTCTCCCC